AACTGATCAGTTTCAGCAGCGGCTGACGCCAGTTCCGACTTACATACAGATTCAACTTAAGAACAAACCTACAGTCCCTATCTTGTATGTAACCCAGGGACTGCCTGTAATATAAAATCTTACCAATAGAATAATAGAATTTTGTCCTTTTTTTTTTTTTTAAACAAAATGAAGCAGCTTATTTTTAAACAGCACTTTCCAACTGATCAGTTTCAGCAGCGGCTGACGCCAGTTCCGACTTACATACAGATTCAACTTAAGAACAAACCTACAGTCCCTATCTTGTATGTAACCCAGGGACTGCCTGTAATATAAAATCTTACCAATAGAATAATAGAATTTTGTCCTTTTTTTTTTTTTTAAACAAAATGAAGCAGCTTATTTTTAAACAGCACTTTCCAACAATGTTCACAATACCCTGTTACAGTTTAGAAAGTAAAACTAGTTTTGCTTGGATAGCTATGATCAAAATAATTGTAAAAAGCAATAAAGCTACATATTACAGAACCTCAAAAATATAAACACCAGAGTTACAGAGGCTGACTGGTCAACCAGACTCACATGAAACTGAAAAGTGAGCAATCAGGCAGCAGCAGAGTAAAAAACCCCAAATACTGCACTGTGCCTATATTGCATCTTAATGGTACTCAGGACTGCAATGCCTATCCTAACTCCAAGCCCCACATGCCAGACACATACTTACAGCTAAAATTTGCAGGCAAAGCTGTGAGCCCCTACTAACAGGAAAGGCTGCTGGAGCAGGAGTCTGTGCAGCTTTCCTGTACGCCATGGATGCTGCTTTTACTCCAGGGTAAAAACCCTCCTGTCTGGGAGGGTGACGCATTGTTTTCACACACCTGCTACTAGGAGGGGAAGGGACTGTTTTCAACACCAGTGCCCCTCCAACCCTACTCTGTCTGAAGGGGAACAAGCTTACTCAAGCCCAGAAAGAAGCTGCCTGCAAGAAAACTGTGTAGCTGCCTCTGGAACATGGCTGGGAGTGTGAACAGCTGGAGCCAGTTACAAACATTTTAGAGTTCTGGATAACCTCCATTCCTGAGGTGTCTGTAACTGAGGTTCTACTGAAAATAATGAGAAGTCAGATTTAAAAGAAAGTTCAAAAAAGTTTAAAAATCAGTTTTTAAATATATGAATTTTAATCAATTTCTCAAAAAAGAAAAATAGTGTATTTTACTTTAGCGCCAAACGTTTCTCTTAATTAGGCCATGTACTACACCGGAGTTTGGACCAGTCTCTTACCATGGATTCAAACAGAAATGTTATTGTTGAAATTTTATCACCCCGCTGCAAATGTATGCCAAGATAAAACTATAATTCTGTAAAACACTAAAATTTCCTCCACTGATAAGGGTCATTGAGTTTGTTTTTCCTGTACCTACATAAATTTGCTAAAACAAAACAAAATTAATATTTTTAATCTATAAATGATAAAAGTACTCACATTTAAATTGAAAAAAATAGGTTTGGGTTCACTGAGTTTAAAAGGATGATTATAGAAAGGGCGTTCCTCCTCCTCTTCATCGGAATCATGAGGTTTGTTCACTATCACGTCATCTGTGCTTTGTGCAATCTTCTTACATTTCTACAAAAAACAAAAAAAACCAAAAAAACCACAACTCTGAATTAATCTCAACATCTGGTCAGAAATGTTCCTTATTTCTGCACTTTTTGATGAATTTATTGAATTCAATATTTAAAATCAAGAAAAAAAATTGGTTGTTGGGAAAAATCTTTTAAAAAATTCAAAATATGCATGAACATATACCTTTGCCATTTTACTTGTATATGATTTTATCTATTGAAGGGTATCAATCTTGTCTAGATAGGCTTTGATCCCGCAACAGTCTTCCACATACACATCCATCCACATTCCTAAATAAGGCTACATGGATTTATTTTCCAGATTCAGGGTTTAAATTATGAGCTCTTCAAAAAGCACTGTCACAAGAAACTGTCTCTTACTATGTGCATGTACAGAACTAACACCCAGTATAGAAAGGAGCCCCCTGCCTGCTTTGAACTTTCAGGCATCCAAAATAAAACATTAATTATAGCAATAGCAGTAAGAAATAATAATATTAATAGCATCTCATTATTTAGTTGGCCTGCAAAAAGATTTCCACACAAAAGAAATTATAGGAAAAAAACAAGAAACAATTACTGGCTTACACTGTGGTGCAGAAATCTTCCCAGCTACAAGGGTTTTAAAAAGGACTGGGACATCTCTGAAATGTTCTGCAGGTTAGAAGAGCTGTAAGGACAATCCCATAACTGCATAAGTGTGAAAGTGCAACTTAAAAATGTACAGAAGGTGGTGAAGTACCACAACAAATCTATATGGCAGTCCAAGTTGTTGCTCTTCCAGGAATAACTAACAGCAATTTTAGAGCAGGTATGACTGGAATGTGGGTGAAGAGATACTTCCGTGAGAATAACTCATGGACTAGCATTTAATAACCAATTGATTGGTATTTATTACTTACTCTTTGCACTTTTTGCTCCAGAGTTATTTGTTACTGAACTGGTCTGAAATTTCAGAGGGGTAGCTGTGTTAGTCTGTTTCAGCAAAAATCATGAGGAGTCCTGTAGCATTTTACAGATTAACAAATGTATTTGGGCATAAGCTTCTGTGGTCTAAAGCCCACTTCCTCAGATGCAACACTGAATGAAAGACATCCAACAAAGTGAGCTCCAGCCCAGGAAAGCTTATGCCCAAATAATGAATTACTCTTTAAGATTCCACAGGACTCCTTGTTTTATTGGTATGACATGAGTTTGACATTATAAAGTTGCAAATTCTGACAGTCAAAATTATTACAAGTATTTTCTGTCAGAAAAGGGAGCAAAGAAAATAGTGGCAATATGACCATACATTATGATATATTAGTAACAAATGGAGGACATCCTATGGCTCCGGGGACTGGTAAAAAGATAGAGCAAATAATCTGTAACTTATTGGTTTAACTTCAATTCACATCAATAGCAATCAGAAGTTGTAACCATTTGATGATTGTTTGATGGTCTATTTGGAGTTGAGAAGAAGCCATACCACAAAACTACCATTGCAATGGCACGCTTCTTGTCAGTCTTGGCCGAAATCAAAAGCTGAACAGACTTAGAAATGTGCTACTATCTGTGTCAAGAAAAGACTGATACACATTTGTGTCATGAGGCAATGTGGGAATACCTGTACTGCTACTATACTATGTTATACCTAATATGTAAATAGTCACATTTCAGTCTTCACATTTATGTGAAATGGAATATTTTCTAGGAACACTAAATTTACTATTTTATTTTATGAACAAGCTGTCACAACTGTGATAGTTCTTTAAATGCCACAATGGCATCTCTGAACACAAATTTTTCAACGTGGTCACTTGAGAACACATCCAAGAACTCAGCAAAATCAGGCAGAATGAAGTTTTCTGTCACAGAAGAAATAAGGTTCAAAGATTTCTTTCATGGTCAGAACAAAACCACTAAAGTTATTATATGTCCCAATTACAGTATATTAATTACCAAATTCTGTCGTTTGATACTCATAGATAAGTCTCACTGAAATCTAGAGGAGCTGAACATGTGCAGTAAAGGATATAATCTTATTCAAAAAGTAAAAAGTGTGAAATTTTTATATTATTAAAATGTCAGTGACTGACAATGCTGTAAGATTACAAATATCAAATGTTCAATATTAATATAATCTGTGAAACATAATAATTAGGATTCACTCTTGTAGCCTTCTTACAAGCAGACTTTCTTGAGAATTAAATATATAGAATTACAGCTTGGACAGACAACTAATTAATAACAGTAAAGGCTGGTTAGTTATTTTCAGATTTAATCTTACCTCAGTGAGCTCCTTTATTGTATCTCTTGCTGACTTCTGAGTAACTTTTTCTTCCTTTTTTGCTGGAGCTATAATAGGCAATAGGCTTGGAGGTAAGGGGACACCAGCCTTAGCACACATGGCAGCTGCATTTGCTTTGGCTATTTCAAGAAGTTGGGCCTTGTCTATAAGAATATTAAAATATTAATTAGTGGGCATTTAAAGATTTCTTACAGACAGCCTATATATAATATATAAAAATAATTTTAGGACCACATGCAACAGCAAATCAGTTTCCATCAGGCTAAACAAACTTTATGAAAGTGCATATATACAAAGTATTATTCACACTTCATATATATGAAGAGTAACATAGACATTGCATTCATTTTTTCTTCATTTTACAGGCGACATAATTAAGACGACCTGAATAGGGGGAAAAAACCTGGGTCTGCATTTTTTTTTTCAATATTTGCTTAGCCCCCAAAGTGTTAGTTTTTCCTGCTTGGTTTTTACTTTGGAAATTCAGGTCTGTGTAATTGGAGAAACAGTAAAACAAAAACTTTACAAGAGTGAGAAAACATGGAAATTAAGAACTGAGAAGAGCCAAAATTTGTCAAACTACTTAAAATTCGGATTTGCATTTTTTTTCTTTTGGTCAATGCCTATTTAACGTAACTGACTAACATTTTGGAGATACTATTTAAAGATTCAACTCATGGCTTCTAATATTAAGGGGCAAATTCACGGTACTTATTCTCCAAGATACCTGAAAGGTCCTCCTGCAAAACTATGATATGCCAGAGTTGATATTTCTGATATTTATGAGGTAAAAATGAGGGAGAAAGAAGACAAAGAAAAAAAATGGGGCAAAAGCCCTATTTTTCTGAAATCCTTTGCAGTTCACTTTTAAACCATTCTTTGAGATAATACTTCAAAACACTGATAGTCAACTAAAATGGAAATATTAAATATTCAGATTATAACCAACGCAATTAGGAATTAAACCACCATTTTATATTAGAAGTTAAACATTATGAATATTATCTCAAATTGTTAAGAAAATTATTACATATTAAAAATTTATAAAGATGACAAAATTTTGCTTTAACAACAAATAATAAATGTGGCTTCTAATGTATACAGTCAAGTAATAGAACTACACAAGGCCTGTTTTGTGTATTCAAATAATTGTGAATCTTAAACCTCTTTCCAAAAAAATCCTACAAAAAACAAATAAATGAAGTTTGGAATCTCTATCACTGGAGATACTTAAGAACAGGTTAAACAGACATAAGGGATGATCTAGACGGTGTTTGGTCCTGCCGTAAGGCAGGGACTAGAGTTGATGATGTCTTGAGGACCCTTCCAGTTCTAGTATTCTTATGAGTCTATCATCACCTTAAGCAAGGAGTTACTCAGCTAAACCCTTACATAAGATGAGACTCACCTTACTTTTTATGTAATGAAACAGATCACACAGCTTCATAGCTTGTGACTAACACTCCCAGAAAAGTGTTCTCACTCCATCAGGGAGAGCTGAATATTCCAAGTATAGGCTACATCTCTGGTCATGCTAAGCAATGTTTCCAGATATTTTCTTCTTTCACTAGTGCCAACTATGTGGAATAGGGGGACAAGGCAGCATGCTGAGCTATTCAACTCTTCACCCTCTCATTTCTTCAGGCAAACTAGCGGGGGTTGGGGAAAATTTAAAAATCTACCTCCCTCCCCAAAGGCTGTGAATATAAAGCTACTCTGACACCTGCAGTGTGTCTGAGAGAAGGAGAAGACAATGGAGTGCAGTGAGGGGCCAAGGTGAAAGTCAGGAGTAGAGTACATGCACAGGGAACAGCTACAAAGCTATTACAAAAAATCACTGAGAATGGACAGGAACAGATAAAGCTAAGACAATATATGTGACTTTTTTTAGGGTGAGAATTTTTTTCAGCTACTGTCCAAAATAACTATTACATCCAATTAGCCAATAGCAAAAAAAAAATTAAAGAAATATCAGCTGCCGGGGGGGGGGCTTATTTTCCCCAAAGATGAAAAATAAATATCCTCACTCACATCACATTCTTAAAATATGTTGCATCTTACCACACAGTTGAGCTATTTTTAATGTTATATCATCTACATGATAAAAAAAATCTCAGAGGGAAAGTTGTATTAGTCTGTAACTTTAAAATCAACAATTTATATTTCAGGACTACTTGTTTTTAAAGTTACAGACTAACCGCCACCCCCTGAGATTTTTTTTTAATCTTATCTTTAATTTATATATATTGAATTTGAGTAGAAATAACAGAATCCAGTACATAGCAGCAAAATTAGTACTTGTCAACTGTAGGACTCATGTAAATGAAACTAACTGGGCTGGATATGTCCCATGAAGAGCTTTTGATATGGAAATGCAAATGTTAAAGACAGGAGAAATTGGCTTTGTAATGCACCAACCAGTTAAGGTTTTTGTTCAAGTCCAGAATAATAATGTCACATCTGTAAATAAGCTTCAGAGGGGTAGCCGAATTAGTCTAAGTGGAAAAACTTAAAACAACGAATAGTCTAGTAGCACCTTAAAGACTAACATGTAGATGGTATCATGAGCTTTTGCGGGCAAAACTCACTTTTTCAGCTCATGATACCATCTACATGTTAGTCTTTAAGGTGCTACTAGACTATTCATTGTTTAAGTTTTTACATCTGTAGACATTCCCGAGGGTAACATTTTAACTTGCCTGGTCACTCAATCGTGTATTTAGAAGTAGCCATTCTTCTACAAACAATTTTCACTAAACAGAGAGAGTCTGCAGAACTGGAATTCATCTACATTTTGAGTGCAGTCTGCTTAACTAGAGTAACCTGTAAGATCCTGTACCTTCACATATTTCTCCATTTTCAGTCCAACTACATATTTGAATCCCTTATTAGTGCATAATCAACCTCAGCACAAAGTCCAAGTAAGTAACTGCTTAAAATTACCTAAAAGCGATTCCTAATGAATGTCTGACTTTCACTCTATTACTTTTATCACAGGTAGGACAAAAGTTTACATAGGTCAAGACTACAGATCCAAGAAAATAACTTATAAGAGCATTACTTACCCAAGTCTGTAAGCCGTTTAGGTGATCTGCTTGAAAACTTATCAGACGATCTAGACCGTCTCTGACGATCAGGTGATCTGCTATAGCACCTTCTTCTCCCAGATGATCTTGATCTCCTAAGCCGAACTGGTGATTTGCTAGAGCTTCGTCTTCTTCCGACTGACCTAGACCGTTTTCGCCGAATAGGTGTTCGACTTCTGCTCCGTAACCTGAGCACTATTCGGGGATCTCTTGAGTCTGATCTTCTTCTTCGATCAGCAGACCTTGATCTGTTCCTCTGAGATCTTCTACGTCTTTCTCGTGATGAAGACCTCCTCCTTTTTGACACGGATCTTGACCGAGTCCGTCTCCTGTGTCTTGAACGTGACAGGGAACGTGTCCGAGACCGATGCTTTGATTTAGATTTTGAGCGTCTTTTACGTGTTACTGACCGAGACCGATTCCGTCTAGACCGTGATTCACTATCATGCTTTTGTGATTTACGCTCAGAAGATTTGGAACGCTTAGCTCTAGACCTCCGCAAAGACTCTTTGCCTTCTACCTTTTCAACTGATTTGGATCTAGATTTGTGACGTGAAGACGACTTGGAGCGTTTACTTCTATACCTTTGTGAAGACACTTTGCCCTCTATTTTTTCAGCAGATTTGGATCTTGATGTTTGAAGTTCAGGAGACTTGGAGCGGCTACTTCGAGACTTCTGTGAAGAATCCATGCCCTCTATTTTTTCAACAGATTTGGATCTTGATGTTTGAAGTTCAGGAGACTTGGAGCGACTACTTGGCGACTTCTGTAAAGAATCTGTGCACTCTATTATTTCAACAGACTTGGATCTCAAAGCCTGAAGTTCAGAAGCCTTGGAACAGCTACTTCGAGACCTCTGTGAAGAATCTGTGCCCTCTATTTTTTCAACAGACTTGGATCTCAATGTTTGAAGTTCCAAGGACTTAGATCGGTTGCTTCGAGAGCTCTGTGAAGGCTCCTGAACCTCCATATTTTCAACAGATTTGGATCTGGATTTTCGATATTCAGAGGACTTGGAACGGCTGCTTATATACCTCTGTGAAAGAACCCAAAACTTTATTTCTTCAACAGATTTGGATCTTAACGCTTGAAGTTCAAGAGACTTGGAACAGCTACTTGGAGACTGCTGTGAAGAATCTGTGCTCTCTATTTTTTCAACAGGCCTGGATGTCAGAGTCTGAAGTTCAGGGAACTTGGAGAGGCTACTTTGAGACTGCTGTGAAGCATCTGTGCCCTCTATTTTTTCAACAGACTTGGATCTCGATGTTTGAAGTTCCAAGGACTTAGATCGGTTGCTTCGAAAACTCTGTGAAGGCCCCTGAACCTCCATGTTTTCAACAGATTTGGATCTGGATTTGTGACGTAAAGAAAACCTTGAACGGCTACTCTGAAACCTGTGTGAAGAATCTGTGCTCTTTATTTCTTCTACAGATTTGGATCTAGACATGTCACATTCCAAGGACCTGGAGCGGCTGTTTCGAGACCTCTTTGAGGGCTCCTGTGCCTCTATTTTTTCAACAGATTTGGATCTTGACATTTGAAGTTCAGGAGACCTGGAACGGCTACTTCGAGACCTCGGTGAAGAACCCGTGCCCTCTATTTTTTCAACGGACTTGGATCTTGACGTTTGAAGTTCAGGAGATCTGGAACGGCTACTTCGAGACCTCTGTAAAGAATCCGTGCCCTCTATTTTTTCAACTGACTTGGATCTTGACATTTGAAGTTCAGGAGACCTGGAACGGCTACTTGGAGACCTCGGTGAAGAACCCATGCCCTCTATTTTTTCAACAGACTTGGATCTTGACGTTTGAAGTTCAGGGGACCTGGAACGGCTACTTCTAGACCTCTGTGAGGAATCCGTGCCCTCTATTTTTTCAACAGACTTGGATCTTGACGTTTGAAGTTCAGGGGACCTGGAACGGCTACTTCTAGACCTCTGTGAGGAATCCGTGCCCACTATTTTTTCAACAGACTTGGATCTTGACGTTTGAAGTTCAGGAGATCTGGAACGGCTACTTCTAGACCTCTGTGAGGAATCCGTGCCCTCTATTTTTTCAACAGACTTGGATCTCGATGTTTGAAGTTCAGGGGACTTGGAACGGCTACTTCGAGACCTCTGTGAAGAATCCTGAACCTCCATCTCTTCAACAGATGTGGATCCAGATATGTGACATTCAGAAGACTGAGAATGGCTACTTTGAGACTTCTGTGAAAGCTCCTGAATCTCTACTTCTTCAGCAGATCTGGATCTAGACGTGTGGCTACATTGAGACATCTGTGAAAGCTGCTGAATCTCCATTTCTTCAACAGATTTGGCTCTAGACATGTGACATTCAGAAAACTGAGTGTGGCAACTTTGAGACTTCTGTGAAACTTCCTGAATCTCTACTTCTTCAACAGCTTGGGACCCAGACAGGTGACATTCAGAAGACCGAGAGTGGCTAATTTTAGACTTCTGTGAAAGCTCCTGAATCTCTATTTCTTCAACAGATTGGGACCCAGATAGGTGACATTCAAAAGCGTGAGAGGGGCTACTTTGAGACTTCTGTGAAACTTCCTGAATCTCTACTTCTTCAACAGCTTGGGACCCAGACAGGTGACATTCAGAAGACCGAGAGTGGCTAATTTTAGACTTCTGTGAAAGCTCCTGAATCTCTATTTCTTCAACAGATTGGGACCCAGATAGGTGACATTCAAAAGCGTGAGAGGGGCTACTTTGAGACTTCTGTGAAACTTCCTGAATCTCTACTTCTTCAACAGCTTGGGACCCAGACAGGTGACATTCAGAAGACCGAGAGTGGCTAATTTTAGACTTCTGTGAAAGCTCCTGAATCTCTATTTCTTCAACAGATTGGGACCCAGATAGGTGACATTCAAAAGCGTGAGAGGGGCTACTTTGAGACTTCTGTGAAACTTCCTGAATCTCTACTTCTTCAACAGCTTGGGACCCAGACAGGTGACATTCAGAAGACCGAGAGTGGCTAATTTTAGACTTCTGTGAAAGCTCCTGAATCTCTATTTCTTCAACAGATTGGGACCCAGATAGGTGACATTCAAAAGCGTGAGAGGGGCTACTTTGAGACTTCTGTGAAACTTCCTGAATCTCTACTTCTTCAACAGCTTGGGACCCAGACAGGTGACATTCAGAAGACCGAGAGTGGCTAATTTTAGACTTCTGTGAAAGCTCCTGAATCTCTATTTCTTCAACAGATTGGGACCCAGATAGGTGACATTCAAAAGCGTGAGAGGGGCTACTTTGAGACTTCTGTGAAACTTCCTGAATCTCTACTTCTTCAACAGCTTGGGACCCAGACAGGTGACATTCAGAAGACCGAGAGTGGCTAATTTTAGACTTCTGTGAAAGCTCCTGAATCTCTATTTCTTCAACAGATTGGGACCCAGATAGGTGACATTCAAAAGCGTGAGAGGGGCTACTTTGAGACTTCTGTGAAACTTCCTGAATCTCTACTTCTTCAACAGCTTGGGACCCAGACAGGTGACATTCAGAAGACCGAGAGTGGCTAATTTTAGACTTCTGTGAAAGCTCCTGAATCTCTATTTCTTCAACAGATTGGGACCCAGATAGGTGACATTCAAAAGCGTGAGAGGGGCTACTTTGAGACTTCTGTGAAAGCTCCTGAACCTCCATTTTTTCAACAGATTTGTATCTGGACTTGTGACATTCCAAGGACTTGGAGCGGCTATTTCTGGACCTCTGAGAAAGATTCTGAACCACTATTTCATCTAGAAATTTATGTCTAGATGTGTAATATTCAAAAGAGTTGCAGTGGCCACTTGGAGACTTCTGGGAAGACTCCCGAACCTCTATTTCATCAACAGATTTGGATCTGGACTTGAGACGTTCAGAAGATCTGGAACGGCTGCTTCGAGATCTCTGGGAAGGTTCCTGAGCCTCTACTTTTTCAACAGATTTGGATCTAGACCGCTGACGTTCAGAAGACTTGGAGCGGCTGCTTCGAGATCTCTGGGAAGGTTCCTGAGCCTCTACTTTTTCAACAGATTTGGATCTAGACCTCTGACGTTCAGAAGATTTGGAGCGGCTGCTTCGAGACCTCTGTGAAGGTTCCTGAACCTGTACTTCTGCAACAGATTTTGCTCCAGTCTTGTGACCTTCAGAAGACTTGGAGCGGCTGCTTCGAGACCTCTGGGAAGGTTCCTGAACCTGTACTTCTGCAACAGATTTTGATCCAGTCTTGTGGCCTTCAGTAGATTTTGAGCAGCTGCTTCGAGACCTCTGTGAAATCTTTTGAGCTGCTACCTTTTCCATAGACTTGGATCGGGACTTGTGACGGACAGGAGACTTGGAGCGTTTACTTCTAGATCTTCGTGAAGGCCTCTTGCTCTCTCTTTTTTCAACAGATTTAGATCTAGACTTGAGACGATCAGAGGACTTAGAACGTCTACGTTTAGACCTCCGTGAAGACTCTTTACTGCGTGTTTTTTCAAGAGATTTGGATCTAGACTTGAGATGATCAGTGGATTTAGAACGTCTACGTTTAGACCTCCGTGAAGAGTCTCTACCTCGTCTTTTTTCAACAGATTTAGATCTAGATTTTAGACGATCAGATGACTTGGAGCGTCTACGTTTGGACCGCCATGAAGAATCTCTGCCCCCTCTTTTTTCAACAGATCTGGATCTGGATCTTGACTTCAGCCAATCAGAGGACCTAGAGCGTCTGCGTCTAGACCTCCAGGAAGATTCTTTTCCACTTTTTTCGAAAGACCTGGATCTAGACTTGAAACGATCAGAGGACTTGGAGCGTCTCCATCTAGACCTCCAGGAATAATCTCTACCCCCCCTTTTTTCAAAAGATCTGGATCTGGATCTTGACTTCAGCCAATCAGAGGACCTAGAGCGTCTGCGTCTAGACCTCCAGGAAGATTCTTTTCCACTTTTTTCGAAAGACCTGGATCTAGACTTGAAACGATCAGAGGACTTGGAGCGCCTCCATCTAGACCTCCATGGAGAATCTCTGGCCCTTCTTTTTTCAATTGATCTAGATCTGGATCTGGATGTTGACTTGAGACGATCAGAGGACTTGGAGCGTCTCCATCTAGACCTCCAGGAATAATCTCTACCCCCCCTTTTTTCAAAAGATCTGGATCTGGATCTTGACTTCAGCCAATCAGAGGACCTAGAGCGTCTGCGTCTAGACCTCCAGGAAGATTCTTTTCCACTTTTTTCGAAAGACCTGGATCTAGACTTGAAACGATCAGAGGACTTGGAGCGCCTCCATCTAGACCTCCATGAAGAATCTCTGCCCCCTCTTTTTTCATAAGATCTGGATCTGGATCTTGACTTCAGCCAATCAGAGGACCTAGAGCGTCTGCGTCTAGACCTCCAGGAAGATTCTTTTCCACTTTTTTCGAAAGACCTGGATCTAGACTTGAAACGATCAGAGGACTTGGAGCGCCTCCATCTAGACCTCCATGAAGAATCTCTGCCCCCTCTTTTTTCATAAGATCTGGATCTGGATCTTGACTTCAGCCAATCAGAGGACCTAGAGCGTCTGCGTCTAGACCTCCAGGAAGATTCTTTTCCACTTTTTTCGAAAGACCTGGATCTAGACTTGAAACGATCAGAGGACTTGGAGCGCCTCCATCTAGACCTCCATGAAGAATCTCTGCCCCCTCTTTTTTCATAAGATCTGGATCTGGATCTTGACTTCAGCCAATCAGAGGACCTAGAGCGTCTGCGTCTAGACCTCCAGGAAGATTCTTTTCCACTTTTTTCGAAAGACCTGGATCTAGACTTGAAACGATCAGAGGACTTGGAGCGCCTCCATCTAGACCTCCATGAAGAATCTCTGCCCCCTCTTTTTTCATAAGATCTGGATCTGGATCTTGACTTCAGCCAATCAGAGGACCTAGAGCGTCTGCGTCTAGACCTCCAGGAAGATTCTTTTCCACTTTTTTCGAAAGACCTGGATCTAGACTTGAAACGATCAGAGGACTTGGAGCGCCTCCATCTAGACCTCCATGAAGAATCTCTGCCCCCTCTTTTTTCATAAGATCTGGATCTGGATCTTGACTTCAGCCAATCAGAGGACCTAGAGCGTCTGCGTCTAGACCTCCAGGAAGATTCTTTTCCACTTTTTTCGAAAGACCTGGATCTAGACTTGAAACGATCAGAGGACTTGGAGCGCCTCCATCTAGACCTCCATGAAGAATCTCTGCCCCCTCTTTTTTCATAAGATCTGGATCTGGATCTTGACTTCAGCCAATCAGAGGACCTAGAGCGTCTGCGTCTAGACCTCCAGGAAGATTCTTTTCCACTTTTTTCGAAAGACCTGGATCTAGACTTGAAACGATCAGAGGACTTGGAGCGCCTCCATCTAGACCTCCATGAAGAATCTCTGCCCCCTCTTTTTTCATAAGATCTGGATCTGGATCTTGACTTCAGCCAATCAGAGGACCTAGAGCGTCTGCGTCTAGACCTCCAGGAAGATTCTTTTCCACTTTTTTCGAAAGACCTGGATCTAGACTTGAAACGATCAGAGGACTTGGAGCGCCTCCATCTAGACCTCCATGAAGAATCTCTGCCCCCTCTTTTTTCATAAGATCTGGATCTGGATCTTGACTTGAGACGATCAGAGGACTTGGAGCGCCTCCATCTAGACCTCCATGGAGAATCTCTGGCCCTTCTTTTTTCAATTTCAACAGATCTGGATCTGGATCTTGACTTGAGACGATCAGAGGACTTGGAGCGCCTCCATCTAGACCTCCATGGAGAATCTCTGGCCCTTCTTTTTTCAATTGATCTAGATCTGGATCTGGATGTTGACTTGAGACGATCAGAGGACTTGGAGCGCCTCCATCTAGACCTCCATGGAGAATCTCTGGCCCTTCTTTTTTCAATTGATCTAGATCTGGATCTGGATGTTGACTTGAGACGATCAGAGGACTTGGAGCGCCTCCATCTAGACCTCCATGGAGAATCTCTGGCCCTTCTTTTTTCAATTGATCTAGATCTGGATCTGGATGTTGACTTGAGACGATCAGAGGACTTGGAGCGCCTCCATCTGGACCTCCATGAAGAGTCTCTGCGGTCTCTTTTTCCAATAGACCTGGATCTAGACCTAAGACGATCAGAGGACTTGGAACGTCTGCGTCTGGACCTCCGTGAAGAGTCTTTGCGGTCTCTTTTTCCAACAGACCTGGATCTGGATCTAGACTTAAGACGATCAAAGGACTTGGAACGCCTGCGTCTAGACCGCCGTGAAGAATCTTTGCGCTCTCTTTTTTCGACAGATCGGGACCTAGACTTGAGACGATCAAAGGACCTGGAGCGTCTGCGTCTAGACCTCCGTGAAGAATCTTTGCGCTCTCTTTTTTCAACAGATCTGGACCTAGACTTAAGATGATCAGAAGACCTGGAGCGCCTGCGTCTTGATCTCCAGGAAGAGTCTTTGCCTATGGATCTTGATCTTGACTTGAGACTACCAGAGGACCTTGAGCGCCTGCGTCTAGCTCTCCATGAAGAGTCTTTCCCTCCTCTTTTTTCAACAGACCTTGATCTAGACTTGTCATAAGACGTGGAATGTTTTTTTCTGGAAACTGAGTAGTTTCTGCTTCTAGACCTTGCTCTTTTAGATTTCAAATGTTTAGAGACAGAGCGTGACCTAGATTTCTTCTTTCGTTTCTTGGATCGTGAAAGAGATTTAGATTTACTCCTTTTTAATTTCTTTGATTCGTGTTTATTTTTATCACTACTCTTGTTAGTTTTTTCATGTGCTTTTTTTTCTTTTAAACGATCTTCAGCGTTCTTCTTCACTTCTCCCACAGATCTTAGAGCTGCTGCCAGATCCTGCACCACTGCCAACTGTGGAGCCGCTGCCGAATCTTGCGATGCTGTCACCACCACTGCCAACTGTGGAGCCGCTGCCCAATCTTGCGACCCTGCCACAGACACCGTTGTCTCTGGAGCTTCTGCCGAATCTTGCGTTGCCGCCATCGCCACCTGTGGAGTTGCTGCCAAATCTTGTGTCGCTGATATAGCCACAGCCGACTGTGGAGCCACTGCCAAATCTTGCACCACTGCCACAGCCGCCACCTCTAGAGCTGCTTCTGATTCTGGAGC